GGGCAAACACCCTCCCTCCGCCTTAAAGAAACAGGAAGAAATAAACTGCCGACCAGCTTTAAGGCCTGTGGGAGGGGGTACAGGGTGGTTACTGTATGAGAGTAAGAAGAAAGAAATTTTATAGTCTCGCATTTTTATAATGTCCTTGGGAGATTCGGAAGGTGGACGCTCAAGGTAGGGAAATACCCTTTTCTGGGTTCCCATATAGAACTCGGGGACCACGGATTTGAGCCATTAATTCTGCAGGAACACATCCGCAGAGTTCGCTTTCGAATGTACCTGTGCGTCGTGCCTGTCCATCTTTATCAGTTTTGGCATATGACTCGATATGATTCTTGGGAAACACTATTTAAGTGAAGACCCCCCACTTCCCCTCCAAGAGAAAGAACTGCGCAAGAACAGAGCGGAGAGAGAGCAGCCGTTTTTACAGGCTCTTTGGAGAGCCGTAGAGTAATGTCTTGGAAAGACTTTTCCCCCCTTGGGTTAATAAGGAAATCAGAGGCATTTGAAGAACACCCTTTTTCTTCAGTATAAATATAGGTGATTCCCGTTATTTGTGCTAGTTATGTCCTACAAAGCTACTACCAACGCTGAATTAGCGAATACTGAACCATTGCTCCTAGGGGAAAACAGGGCTATTCCCGGTGAGCCACTCACTGGTCACAACGTTTTAATTCACCTAATCAATACAAAACCCTGTTTTATGTGTTTCGGCTTAAAGACACTTTATTTGATATATGTTTTTCTATTAACATCGAGTTCATGGCCAATAGCACTGTAACTCATGCCCGAGTGAAGCTTATCTACACGTGCATTTTCTCCATTAGGCACATCACAGAGTTCTTGCACTTAAGAGCATTGGCTAGCCCTTCAGCACTACCCTTGGGGACCATTTTAAACGGAAAAATCACCAACTAAAAGCACAAACTGTGTGAAAAGCGTGGTACTAAATAGACTGTAAAGAGGATACTTGTTTACAGTGTGAGAGCTGAAATGAGAAGGCAGAGCTTTGCTTCCTTTGACCTAAGGAGGGAATGTGCACTTTGGGCAACTAAATTTTTCACCACTCTGCACAGATCTATAAACGGAGATAATAATAATTATGAAAGTGAGGATTTAATAAAAAGGTAGCTGTGAAGATTCTGGTATAAAACATAGAGAGGCAGAAATTTTTTATTTTTGCATCGACTTTGTATGCAAAACAAACGAATACATAAAATTGGTTAAATAAGCTATCAGATACTGAATAGATAATATACATACTTCAACAGAATTTTATGCAGATCCTTTGGGAAACTCAGAGGAAATTGAAAACAAGATAAAAGTGTTATAAAATAAAAAAGTAATATAGTGTAGATTCAATATACATATAAGGCATCTATTTAATACTTAGGTATTTTAGCCAAGAATGGGTATAATATGCCCTAAACCAGTGGACGGCAAACTGCGGCTCGCGAGCCACATGCGGCTCTTTGGCCCCTTGAGTGTGGCCACGAAGTTTCAATCGCACTGTACGTACGTGCGCGCCCGCACGTGGTATTTTGTGGAAGAGCCACACTCAAGGGGCCGCAGTTTGCAGACCACTGCCCTAACCGGTTTGGCTCAGTGGCTAGCGTCAGCCTGCAGACTGAAGGGTCCCAGGTTCCATTCCGGTCAAGGGCATGTACCTTGGTTGCGGGCACATCCCCAGTAGGAGGTGTGTAGGAGGCAGCTGATCAATGTTTCTCTCTCATCGATGTTTCTCTCTCATTGATGTTTCTAACTCTCTATCCCTTCCTCTCTGTAAAAAATCAATAAAAATATATTTTTTAAAAAAGATAAAAATTCAAGTTTGAAATGTATAATAACCTATTTGAAATTATTGTTACAAATTTCTTCTGTTCTTCAAGAAACCTGTACCATTGCTGATGTAAACCTCCAAGTTAATATGAAGTTACATAATCATATATACATGTGCCTAACATTCATATATGAATATAGAGTAAAAAATTATTTTTTCCCTTTGGCTCTTAAAGAGTAGAATTTAGCAACATGTGGATTGCAAGGAAAAGCTAAAAAATAAAGATAAAAATTCAAGCCCTAACCGGTTTGGCTCAGTGGACAGAGCGTCGGCGTTCCATTCCGGTCAAGGGCATGTACCTTGGTTGCGGGCACATCCCCAGTAGGAGGTGTGTAGGAGGCAGCTGATCAATGATCGATGTTTCTCTCTCATCTGATGTTTCTAACTCTCTATCCCTCTCCCTTCCTCTCTGTAAAAAATCAATAAAAATATATTTTTTAAAAAAGATAAAAATTCAAGTTTGAAATGTCTCTCAACACCTACACATGTTCTTATACTTCACGCTCAACCTCCAAATTCTGGAAAATGTTTCTATATAACCTACTAACTCAATAAAAATATCCCAGGTTGTCATGGTGACATAGTTCTTTCCCCTGCAGAACATTGTAGTCTGGTGCAGTGGTTTCCTAATTCCTTATGTTTGTGAAATCTTTCTTTTTCTGTGTTTCACCTTTCCAGCCTAATACTACATCTGAGCCTGCTAGACTGGTGGCAAATTAAAGATTTAATTTGGAATAAGGTAAACTTAATTAATAGTAAATCAGTCTGGAAAGGTGATGAAATCCTTTGTGGGTATATGTCCCACAATGGTCCTTGATGAAAACATTACAGCATTCAGTCCTTGCTAGAATTTCTCCTTTATTTCTTAACCTGTATGGGCTGATTAAATTTTAAAAATCTTGTCCAGGTTTTTAGAACAATGATAGGAAATCGGTAGTCAGGATATGAACTTTGGGTTAGCCATTCTCTTCCCTTCACCACTAAACCCTTTTTTAGTCCCATCTCTCAGTCCCAAAATGGGAGCTTTGCAGGTTTGAGAGTTCCTATAGTGCAGAGACTTGTGGATGTCATGGATTTGAGCTCAGTTCTGACAAATGATCTTGCTGCCTACGTTGGTCTGCTTCAGGGCTCCTCAAGTTATCTTTGTGGGAAGGTATTCAAGAGCAAGGGCAGATCTTGGCAAGGATTCCTTGGACACAGAGGAGAATGAAGAGGCTAAGAAATGGAACAGCAGAGGAAAGCAAGAGAAAGCTGCATGTAAGCAACAGGAAAACACTCTTTGTGGTTGTCTAATACCCATTTGAGGAGAGAAACCATACCTTTTGTTTGTCTACGTAATGAATAAATAAATGGCTATTTGGTGGTACCATTACCAAGTATTTTGACTTTGCCCATGCCCAAAGCATGTTCTTCATGAAGGCTAATATCAAAGTGTAAGGTATGTATAACTTTATTCTCTTTCATGAATCTTTAGTTCATAAGTAGTTATCTAAACCTGGAAAGTCTGGGATCCTAGAGGTAAAAAAAAATATTTAAGGGAGTCTTTGAGCTCTTGCAATATTTTGAAAAATCTAATCGAAATTGAGGGAAAATCTGCAACAAGGAAGCAAAGGTTTCCCAAAACATTGAGTTTCCTTGCTCTTGACTGATAATACATGAGTTTAATATGGGCAAATATGTTATTTCATTTTGGTCAGACGCTCACGCCAGTAGTTAATATGTCAATGACTTTGGTGAAGAAGATAAAACAAATCATTATAATTTAATATATTTAATTTTATTGGGAAGACAGAAACATCTTCAGAACCTTGGAGTTCAGACATTCCACAAATAACTCTTATCTTTTATTCACTGCAACACATACATGTCAGCCCTAAGTTAGCCAACATAAATATCACCACCCTGTCATAGGTGCTGTGCTTGAGAGGTAGATGAAATAGAGATGTGGGGGCAGAGAGGAAGGAACAGCTAATCCTCCTTGAAAAAAAGAAAAGAAAAGAAAAGAAAAGATGGGGGCTGTGAAAGAAGGCTTTGTAGAGAAATTAGTCCGTGAGAGAGCTGATTCCTGAATGCTGGTGGGGTTTTCTTTTCTTTTTTTAAAAATATATTTTATTGATTTTTTACAGAAAGGGAGAGGGATAGAGAGTTAGAAACATCAATGAGAGAGAAACATCGATCAGCTGCCTCCTGCACACCCCCTACTGGGGATGTGCCCTCAACCAAGGTACATGCCTTGACCAGAATCGAACCTGGGACTCTTGAGTCCGCAGGCCGATGCTCAATCCACTGAGCCAAACCGGTTAGGGCTGGTGGGGTTTTCAAAAGAAACAGCTGGCGTGAAGATCTGGAGGTGCAAATTACAAAAGGGTTTAGCTGAAACCTGGAGAAATGAGACCGACAGTTGACAGAGACCAGACTTGACGAATCCTAAAAACCATGGCAGAGAAATCATGGCAACGGGATCCACTGAAGACTTTTACAGAGGAGTAACCTAATGACATATGCTTTAAAAATGGATAATTTTAATGATAATATGAAGCATGAATTGGACAGGGCTAGGAAGACCAGGCTCATTATTTTCTTAATTAAAAAACTTGTTAATTGGGTACAGCACACACACTGTAAAGTGCATACATATTAAATGTTTAGCTTGATAAATGTTTTCATATATATGTATACATATGTATATATTTTTATGTAACCACTAACCAAATTAGGAACTTTTCCAACATCCCAGAAGAGTCTCTCTCCTGTGCTTCCCAGGCAATACCCATTGTAGCTTCCACTCCTTCACCCCACATTCTATGGAGAGCCTCTATTCTGGCTTCTATCACCATAGATTCATTTTTCTTCACCTTTATATAAATGGAATCATGGGCTATGTAATCTTATGCCTGACTTCTTATGCTCAACATTACCTGTGTAATTTCTCCTTGTTGATGAATGTAGCAGTTCATCCTTTTTAATTGCCATGTATATCCCATAGTATGATTTTATACCACATTTAACTCATCCGTTTTACTGCTGATTGACACTTAGATGGTGTCAATTTTTTTGACCTTATGAATAATAGTGCTTAGAACGTTTTAATGTATCTTTTGTTAATGGATATACCCACTCACTATTCTTGGGTATATGTCCAGGACTGAAATTGCTATTATAATCAGTATGTTTACTTTTAGTCATTCTGGTACCAGGCTGTTAGGTGGACATCAGGCTATTATGAATAAAGCTGCTAAAGATATTCCTGATAGATCCTCCCTTCCCCCAACTGGTGGGTGGAGTATGACGTAACCTGTGGCCCGGAAATACCTGAGTGACTAACCATGTTATTTTATATGGACTATACATTGGACCACCAATCCACACCTGCCAAATACCCTAAGCCCTTGTCCTATATGGACAATGCAGTAAGCCACCAGTGTGCGCTGAGTAAACCTAAGCCCCCCACTCCTTCCCATTCCGCCCCTCAAAAGGCGTGCCCACCCCTGCACGTGCTGCTGTCCTACCCTTGCGAGACAGCCCGGCAGGTCCTTCTCCTCTAATTAAGCCTGTAGTCCTGGTTTTCGGCCTCTGTCTGATCTTTCAATTCCCATATAGGTCTTTCTATGGACATATATTTTCATTCCTCTTGAGTTCAGGTACCTAGGAATGAGATTGTTGTGACATCTGGTAAGCCTAGGTATATAAGAAACTGCTAAACTGTTTCCCAATGTGGCTGTATCATTTTGAATTCCCACTGGCAACTTCTGAGAGTTTTAGGTGCTCCTGTCCTTGTCAGTATTGGGTAGTGTCAGTTTTAAAAAAACAACTTTAGCCATTGTTATAGTTCTAAGGTGATATCTCATTGTATTTTTAAAAAAAATTGAAATAAAATTTATATAACAAAATTCATCAGTTTAACCATTTTAAAGTGTACGATTCAGTGATTTTTAGTATAGCCCCAAGAATGTGCAATCATTACCATTAATTACTGATTCAATAGTTTTAATTGTTATAGGCCATGTATTCAGATGTTTTCTTTTTTCTTGAGCCAGTTTTGGTTTTGGTTTTGGTTCTGGCCAGTTTAGACATGCTTTTCTTTAGCTCTTTGAAAATATTTAAAATAGCTTCTTTAAAATCTTTGTCTAGTAAAGTCCAACATTTGGGCTTCCTCCTGGACATGGTTTTTATTGATTGCTGTTTCTCTAATTATGAGCTATACTTTCTTGTTTTTAGGATGCCTCATAATTTTTTGTTGAAAACTGAACATTCTGAATATAATAATGTGACAATTCTGGAAATCAAATTATTTTCCTTCCTCAGAGTTCACTGTTACTACTTGGCTATTCCCTATCTCTCTTTCAAGATTCAGCTATAGTTTCAACTCTATCAGAAAACCTTAACTAATCTTTCATTCTGAATTAGATGTGTTCTACAGCTCTCTCTCTCCCCCCCCCCCTCTCTCTCTATATATATATCCTGATACTTAGCATGATATATTTTAATTATTCTCTGTTTTTTCCTACTAGATGCCACTAGATAACAGGGACTATCTTTTTTAACTCCAATGCCTAATTAACATGTCTGGCATATAGAAGGTGGTGAATTCAAGTTTAATAAATGAATGATAGATTTATGCATATGTAGGCAGAGAAGGAGACAGTGATGAGGAAGAGATTAAAGGTACAGAAAGCAGCCCTAACCGGTTTGGCTCAGTGGATAGAGCGTCAGCCTGCGGACTGAAGGGTCCCAGGTTTGATTCTGGTCAAGGGCATGTACCTTGGTTGCAGGCACATCCCCAGTAGGGCGTGTGCAGGAGGCAGCTGATCGATGTTTCTAACTCTCTATCCCTCTCCCTTCCTCTCTATAAAAAAAAAAAAATCAATAAAATATATTTAAAAAAAAAAAGGTACAGAAAGCAGAGTTGGGATGCCATTGATGAAACAATGTCTGCCAAAGAGGATAGGTTTCAGTGCACAGGAGGAGTGATTAGTTTTAAAAATGAGAGATATGTCTACATCTCAGGTCGGAATAGAAATGTGAGAACATGAAGGGATTGTTACTAAGGGTTCATCCTTTTCTCCCTCTGTAAAGAAGTGGGGGCAGAGGGCAAAGGGTAGGGAGTCAAGACGAAGAGGAATAGAGGATTGAAGAAAATGACAAAAGACTTGGAATGACTGTTACGGAGAATGGCAATTTCATGATTAAGGAAAAGTAAAGGAATTGCCAAGCTGTGGATAGAATCAATTGAAACCGGAAACTCTATCTTCCTAGCTCGTCTGATTCCCTCCCCCCTTCCCCCCCCCCCCCCAAGCCAGACACAGGCTCCCACCTTTAGAATCTGAGGGGATGAATTTCAAAATTGACATAGGGTTGGGGCTTGCGGTGCAGGCAGAAAGACAGGCGCACAGGTGGACAGGATGCCTGTTAGAGAGAAAAAAGAGTCATGTCTGCGGAAAGTTCAAACGCTATTGTAGGTATTTAAAACGATAGACCGTGAGTGGGTTAGGAAAGAAGATGCTAGGCCAGGGCATCGCTCCACCCTTACTACTTGTGCACACAGGCTGGGCAGGGGTGGAGGTCCGAGCTGCCACCGGAGTGTCGTGGCCGTAACGGCTGTCACAGAATCCGGAAGGTGACGGCGCTAGCTCACAAGCAGACTTGGGAGAGGCGTCTTGGTCCTCCGCCGCGGCGGTCCTCGCCTACTTGCCAAACCCAGGCCCGGGGCGGTTCAGAACCTAAAACGAAGTTTCCGCCCTCAAGTTGCCCCGAGCAGCCTGACCCGGAAGTTCCTCTGCCGACCCGGAAGCAGAGCTGTGCGCCAGCGGCGCCGCGGCGGAGCCACCGCCCCCACCGCTGTGCCGCTGCTTCGCCCCGCTGGGGACCCGGGGAGCGCGGCGCCGGGCGCCCAGATGGTCCTCGGCCGGCGGCGGCGGCTGAGGCGGAGGGAGGATGACCTCTCCTCGGGAGCGGGGTGCCGACCTGGCCCGTTTCTACACGGTCACCGAGCCTCAGCGACACCCGAGGGCTACACGGTGTATAAGGGTCACCGCCCGGGTGAGTGCGGGTGTCAGGCCGGGGTGGGATCCTGAATTGGAAGGTGAGGGTCTGGGGTGGGGACCCTGGCGTGGGGGTGCCTGGCCCCGGTCGGAGCCGAGGGTGGGACTCGGGGCGCCTGGTGCCGGGCGTGCGTCAGAGGGGGGACCTGGGGAAGTCTGAGGAGCGCTGAGGGTGGGATGCTCGGGACTCCACCCGGGAAGGCTGCGGAGTCGTCCCCGTTCCCGGTGGGGCAGGCATTGATGGTTTTCCAGGGATGACTCAGCCCCCATCCCATTTGAACTTTCTCTTCGGAGGCTGAAATTTTGCAGAAGTGGGTTTGCTTGCTTCCGAGGGATGTGCAGGTTAAAGATAGAATTTATTGTCTTATCTTACTTATGTAATGGGCCTTTCTTCCCTCGGCCATTTATACAGCGTCATTGTTTGCACTGAGGCAGACGGACTCTCGAGGATGTCGGTGTTAGGGGTCACAGCCCAGGACCTCTGCCGCCTGCCTTTTTGCCTTTGAGTCTTTCATGGTTTACGGTGGGAGACAGAGGAGAAATTCCACGGAAGGTTACTTGGGTGAGCTGCCTTGAGAGCACATTTATTTAAAGGCTGCGAGTCTCCTCTATGTTAACTTAACCAGGTTCAATTCTTAGTACCCGATTTGGTACTAAAAATTGCTCTTGCTCCTTTTAAAGAGAGCTTGTGTCTCTCTCCTTGGGAAATAAAGAAGAGTAAGATTAAGTAAGTCTATGTGTAGGCATGTATGTGTGTATGAGTATGCACATGTATTAGGCATTTTGTACACATCACCCAAGTTACTGCTAATTTTTACGAGGAGGAAACTGAGGTTGCCGGAGGTGTTGTAACTTGCCCAACTTTACATTGCAAGTCAGTCTTACATCTAGGATTTGAGGCCACTTCTGCCTAACTCCAAATTATATAAAAAGTTCAGAATTAACTTTATCATTGCCATTAATTGCTTGAAAAAGGAGAGGTACAGATAGTAGTGATACCACAATACACATTTGGAGGATGTAGTGATCATGTGTGACAGCTCAGGAACTAGGTCTTGAGAACAACTTGGCATGTGCTTTATAGAAATGGTGCACAGTTGAGACATATGTCAGAAAGTGGGATGAGCAAGTTTGTTTAAAGATAAGACCAGGCCTGGCCTAGAGGGCTGTACTGAGAATAGAGGGAAATTTGCTACTCCCTGTTTGCAAGTAAAGTTGTTATATAGGTGTAGTGTAAAAGTTTGTTTTTGTTTTTTTTTTTTTAGATTAAGGGCCCTTATTATACCACTCTTGAAACCATTGTAGGCATTGGGACCTTCAAACATTGAGACTTAGTTTCCTAATATAATTTATGGAATTGGAACAATTTTCAACATATGTAATGTTTTCTTCATAGACCCCGTTCATCCCTTATTATAACACCACAGTTATATTGTATTAATCTGTTATATGCTTGTGTCTCTAGTATATTCAGAATAGGTCTTTATCATTGGTATTTGTTTCCTTTTATAACAGCTAAGACAGTGCATGGCACACAGTGTCTAAAAAACATTGTTGAATGTTTTCCTCTCCATTCTAGGCAACACGCTCAGTAAGTGTTTAGTTCCAGGCACTAAATGCTGCAAGGGATAGAGGCTGAATAAAGTATGGACCTTCTTTCAAGGATATTCATAGTAGAAGAGAGTTTACAGGTTTTGAAGAAGTATAGTACAAGACAGAAAGTGTTAAGTGCCACAAGAGAATAGAAAAGAGCTATGGGATTTCAGAAGACAGAGATTGCTTCTGGCTCAAGGGATCTGGGAACATGTACCAATTAAGACCGGTGGTGAAAGATGAGAAGAATCCAGATAGGTGGTGACAAAAGGGGAGGGCGCCGTAGGTGGAAGGGTAGCTAGAAGGGAGAGAGCCAATAAGGGCTTGAAGGCATAAATGTGTTTGGAACTTGAATAGCAAACACTGTATATGATAATTGTTTGTATTCTTACTTTACAAAAGGAGAGGTTAACCCAATTCAGATCTTAAGTATCTTTTCTTAAGCTGTGGACTATTTACTGAACTAACTTTTATGACAACATAAATTAGAACACAAAGTAGCACATTGCCTCAGGACTAACCAAATCTATATAATATGCATGCTACATATTGCTGTGGTTATTTGAACTTGAAAATTGCTTACATTGCTTTTCTTCTCTTTGTAAATGTTTATGTCCTCATTTGTTGCTTTGGTGACAGATTTTAATTTTAATGTTTGAGGGTCAACATGGAAATATACTTAAAAAGTAACTGTACTTAATATTATAAAACAAGTAAAATATTGGTTAATTTTTTTTTGAGACTTAAGGAGGAAAACATCTTTCCTCAGGAGAATTAACCAGGTAAGTAGTATTCTCCTGAGAGAACTTTATGAGATAAAAATTAGGAATGTCTTCTCTATGTTTCCTGCTACTGATTTACTTTAAGCTTTAAGGAATAATCTCTAAATTCTTGATCCTTGCAGGGTTCTTTATGAAGGAGTAGATTTAGAATAATCAGAAGTATCATTATTAAATTTTGGGTAGCATAAAAGCTCTTGCATCTTCTTAAATCTCCTTTATACTTTAAAAAAAAATAGTTTTCTGGAACCTTGTGGCCAGTTACAAGCTTGTTAACATATTTCCTAGTTAAACTCTGTGTTGCTTATTACTTTTTATCTAGAATAAGTACCTCTATTCAGAATTGGAAAATTCTTTTGTAGGTTTCTTTGATTCTTTAGTTGAAGGAGACAGATATAAAAGAACCATTAGCAGTTTTGGCTTGTTTCATCATGCTAAGTTTACAAAATTCTCATACTGTGATATAGATTTCTCATTAACATTAAGTTAATGGTTGTTCTTGCTTGTATTCTTTCCATGAGTATGGAAAGCAAAAGGTATGCCTTTATGTAAAAAAGACAGTGTTGCTTTATGACTTTATTTTGTTTATATGACTTTATATACAATAAAATGCACCAATTTTAAGTGTACAGTTTGATGAGTTTGGACAAATATATACATACTATTGGGTGTCCCCCAAAATATAGACACACATTGTGCATAATTATAAAGGCAGTGTGTATTAAAGTACATTTTATTTTCAAAATTGAGCTATCAGCCATAACAGTGTGTGTACATTTTTTGGGGACACCTGTAGTTGTGTAAGCACCACCATGGTCATCATGGCAGAAGCTCCCTGATGCTCCTTTGTGGTCAATCCCCTCTCTCCACTCCCTGTCTCTAGGCAAACACTGGTCGCCTTTCTGTGATAGATTAGGTGTGTTTTCTACAGTTTTATATAATTGAAATTAAACAGTATGCACTTTTCTTTCTGGTCTGGCTTCTTTAACTTAGCATGATTATTTGAGATACAACTATGTTGTCTGTTTTTATTCTCTTTTATTGCTGACTGATATTCCATTGTATGGTTATATTACAATTAATCTGTTTACCTGTTGATGGACATTTGGGTCGTTTCCAGTTTTTGGTTATGAAGACAGCTATTATGAACATTTGTATACGAGTATTTGTATGGGCATGTGCTTTTATTTCTCTTGATAGCATATATACTTGTAAACTGTAGCTTAATACTAAGTCCTTTTTTTAAAAAAATCTTTCTTGTTGAAAGTATTATATATGTCCCCCTTTTCCCCCCATTAGCCCCCTCCAGCCTGCCCCCATCTCCCATCCCAGGCTTTCACCACCAAATTGTCCCTGTCCATGGGTTATGTGTGTGTGTGTGTGTGTATGTATGTATATGTGTGTGTGTGTATATATATATATAGTCTTTTGTTGATTACCTCCCACCCACCCACTCTCCCCTGCCTTCCCTCCTAAGCTTATCCTTGTAAACTGTAGCTTAATACTATGTCTTAAAAAAAAATCTTTTATTTTTAAATTACAGTTAACATACAATATTATATTAGTTTCAGTTGTATAACCCAGTGATTAGACATTTATATAACTTATAAAGTGATCACCCCGATAAATCTAGTACCCATCTGACACCATACATAGTTATTACAATATTATTGACTATATTCCCTATGCTGTACTTTACATCCCCATGACTATTCTGTAACTACCAATTTGTACTTCTTAATCCCTTCACCTTTTTCATCCATCCCCCCAACCCTCCTCCCATCTGGCAACCATCAAAATGTTCTTTGTATTTGTGAATCTAATTCTATTCTGCTTGTTTGTTTGTTTTGTTTTTTAGATTCCACTTATAAGTGGAATCATATGGCATTTGTCTTTCTTTGTCTGACTTATTTCACTGTCTGACTTATTTCACTAAGCACAATACCCTCTAGCGGAGGTTCTTAACCTGTGGGTGGCGAACAATGAAAATACATCCTGCATATCAGATATTTACATTACGATTCATAACAGTAGCAAAATTACAGTTATGAAGTAGCAACGAAAATAATTTTATGGTTGGGGGTCACCACAACATGAGGAACTGTATTAAAGGGTCGCGGCATTAGGAAGGTTGAGAACCACTGCTCTAGGCCTTTCCATGTTGTTGCAGATGACCAGATTTCATCCTTTTTTTATGGCTGAGTCATGTTCCATTGTATATATGCATCACTTCTTTATCTGTTCATCTATTGATGGGCACTTAGATTGCTTCCATATCATGGCTATTGTAAATAATGCTGCAATGAATACATGGATGGATATGTATTTTTGATTCAGTGTTTTGGGTTTCTTTGAATAAATACCCAGAAGTACAGTTCCTGGATTATATCTGAGCTCCTTATTAAATATTTGTTAAGTAGATAATATAATTTAGCACACTGGAGAGGACCTAATGACAATTTGATCTGTTGATTATTATGGGCCTGAGGTAGGCCAAGCTATAAAGTCTGGTCTTTGTGTAAGGATAGGCAAGAGGGCTCATTTTAAGATTTTTTGTTGTTTTTGTTTATTAGGGAACTGGTAAAAAAGCAATTCATGGCTAGTGCCAGAGCAAGTATTCAAATCCCTTTCTTCTTAATTCTTTCTGTTCTGCCAGCGTTCTTCTTCAGCTTTTGATTGGCATTTCTTTGTAAAGAAAATGGATTTACCTAACAGCCAATAGGAATATTTCTCACATACTTGGAATTTTAATGTCTAGGAGGGCTGGTTTCATTGTGTCCCAGAAAGAGCACTTTGTTTAGAATCACAGAGTTGTGAGATTAGGTACTGCCTGTTATTGATTAATATTATTAGTATTACTGTATTACTGTATGCTCTTGGTCCTTGATTGTCTCATCCTATGAGGCAGAGTTTTGCTGAATGAAGGAAAAGATTTAATTTCTTAGCACAGTAGGAGATAGTTACCTTATTTGTTTTCCTAAATTGAGAATTTGCTTTTGACATTAACAGAGGCGGATGGACCACAAACATCGCAGTAGCATTTTCCACTGTGTTCCAAATTTTAGTAGGTGTCACACTAAATACAAAAATAATAATAAATAAAAAACATATGATAAAAATAGAAAGTTGAATAGATAGATGACCTTGGGAAATACTATATAGCTTCCTTTTGGAGATTTACAAGGCATCATAAAGTACTGTTGATTCTTTTTTAAACAAAGATAAACTGAGTTCATCATTAGTCTTTTGAGATCACTGATTTTAAAGAATACCAGTATTCCATGCAGTGTGGTTTGTGAAGCACTGCTTTAGGGTAATAATTTTCAACATGACTTGGCAATAGAATTCTATCTATCTATCTATCTATCTATCTATCATCTATCTATCGAGACTTCTCAAGTAAGTACTTAATGAGCCATTGGTAGTTAACGCTTGCAACAGAAATTTATGAACTTTAAATGAAAGATGTCACTTCTTTAAATTCCAACTTTTATGGAATTTGTTGGCTGAATTTTGTGACAAAATATTGAAATTCACCTCAGGGAAAAATTACGAAGTAGTAACAGTCTATATCAGAGTGAATGTTGTATTTTTGTTTTAGAATTGATATTACTTGTTGAGATCATTGCTAATATAGTATTAAAAGTTATAATTAGCTTGGTCTCAGGGTTCAACTTTGTTCATTTTCAGTATGGTCATATTCTTACTTCAGATTTCTGATTGGTATTCTTATTTTTCATCAATTTTGCTGAAGAGAATTACATAATTAGAAAGAGTTGTTACTAATGGACATCTGGGCTCAGCTCATGTTATTCTAACCCCTTTGTTTTTGTTGTCCACGTCAGAGGACACATTCTTAACTGATTTAAATGAAATTACACCTGTGGGTCTACTGAACACCTCATAGTGGGTTGTCATTTGGTTGAACTTGGTAAGGTATCTGGCAAGTGATTATGTTTTTATAGTGTAGTGGCATAGGAATCAAGCCTGATGTATTCTCCATTATACTTCAGTACCTACCTGCAGAGTAGGCACTAATATTTGTTGAATAAGTGAAAGAATAAGTAAAATCTAATGGTTGACAGGGTTTTGTGGAGTACATAAACAATTACTGCTGTTTTTGTTTTGGGCTGCAGTAGTGTTGAGTTGATCCTAATCCCCAGTTCATGGTATTGTCAGTAGTTATCAACAATGTTTTCTTCCTTTCATCTATAGGCAACCATTTTTATGTGTTTAATGTATCTTTTAGTTTTTGCAAAATGCGTATTGTAGCATCAAGTTCATGAATTTTACATTTACATAGATGTTATTATGTATTTAATGTGAGATTTTCTCACTTTACATTATTTTTTAATTATTTAAGCACCCAGCCTTCTTCTTTTCTAGTTTTGTGAGGAAATCTTTCTAAATGGTGTTAGATTTTTTGGCTTTTGTAATTAGAGAAGTCTGAAAGAATCCTCCCTCCTCCTCTTTGCTCAGAGAATGAAGATAGCATTGTCCTTGAATGCTGATTATAATTTTTTATAAGTTACTTTTGTTTTCTTCACCATTAGGTGGTCAGTGATTACTTCTCATAGATATTGGTGTATCTGAGCATTGTGGCTGTATTTTTTTTTCATTGAAATTTTTATTGAGCTAATTGTAGATTCACTTCCAGTTGTAAGAAATAATCCAGAGCAATCCCTGTATACTTTGTCCATTTGCAGCTGCTTTATATATTTTCAATTTATATGGAGTCTGAGAAGAGGATTAGACAAGTTTGGTAGAATAATGTCAAGTGAAAGTGAAGGCTGAGGTATTCTCCTCTAAATGTAATACATGAACTTTAGTATTTGGACTTTATTTCAGCTGCCTTTTTGCTGAATTTTTTTAGTATGTGTTTCAGATAGTGAAGTTATATAGCTGAGTTCTGTGTAAGTGACATAATATGGTATTTCCTTCTTTTTTAAAAAATCCTTACCCAAGGACATTTTTTCCATTGATTTTTAGAGAGAGTGGAAGGGTGAGGGAGAGACAGAGAGAAATACTGATGTGAGATGTGAGAGAGACACATTGATTGGTTGCCTTCCGCATGCCCCTGACCAGGGCCAGGAGCCTGCAACTGAGGTACGTGCCCTTGACTGGAATTGAACCCGAGACCCTTCAGTCTGCAGGCCAACGCTTTATCCACTGAGCCAAACCGGCTAAGGCTATTTCCTTATGCTTTAAGTCAGTGGTTGTCAACCTTCCTAATGCTGCGACCCTTTAATACAGTTCCTCATGTTGTGGTGACCCCCAACCATAAAATTATTTTCGTTGCTACTTCATAACTGTAATGTTGCTACTGTTATGAATCGTAATGTAAATATCTGATATGCAGGATGTATTTTCATTGTTACAAATTGAACATAATTAAAGCATAGTGATTAATCACAAAAACAATATGTAATTATATATGTGTTTTCCGCTGGTCTTAGGCGATGTGACCCCTGTGAAAGGGTCATTTGATCCCCAAAGGGGTCGTGACCCACAGGTTGAGAACTGCTGCTTTAAGCAAATTGAAATTTTTATACAAATACTATTGAAAGTAATTATACAAATGTGAAATCTTAAATTTTGATAATGATGAGATATTTCTGTGTATGTTTTGTTTCAGGTTATTTCACGAAGAAATCCAGAGGATGTCCAGGAGGTAACATGTTATATGAAAATTTCATTTTATATATTTGACAAAAATTTAACTAAATGCTCGATTGAGCAAATTGAATTGTTTGTCAGTCTTTGTGTTGGTATGTTTGTGTGGAGATTGTCTTCAACTCACAAAACAGTAGCAGAAGTGTCCTAGTTCAGACCTATTAAGTATATTTTAAGTTGTCATAGGTTTTAAGTTATATGACTAAGAATTTGAAGATTATTCAGATGTATTAAATATGTGTTAGATTTTAGTCTATGTTAAATTATAAAAATAAGATTTTTAGGAATCATAGTGCTATTTAATAATGTAATACTTTTTCTCATACTCATCAGATTTCAATGTTAGTTAAGGGCTCCTATTTACCTATTTCTAAATTATGATGCCTGTTTAATATAAACTTGAAAAGTATTTGGTAACTAGTATTAATTTTAAAGATATTAATATTAAGTTATGGGTTTCTGTGTACTTCCATTTTTATATTGAGTTGACATGTTGACATCTTGGAAAACTGCTTTGGGTGTAGATGTTTCTTTTTTAAATTTTGTAGATGCTAAGTTTCTTTTGCCAACTCTTCTTTTCTCTAAAATGATACCAGTTTGTTAAGTTTTTGCTTAAAACTGGTTCTGTATTTATTATTATTTTGTACTTATATACCTTTAGGAATCCTATCTGAGGAACTTATTTATTTTAACAGTTTTAAAATTTACTTTTATATTAGTGCTTGCTCATTTTCTTTAAAAAATTAATTTATTGTTTAATTACAGTTGACATACAGTATTATTTTAGTTCCAGGTGCACAACATAATGATTAGACATTTATATACCTTCCAACGTGATTACCTTGATCTCATTTTCACTAAGATTAGAAAAACATAGCATGTTGGGGATTTTATTTCTTACTAAAGAAACAGACATTGTAAATGAGCATTCTTAATTCTGCAACAGTATTTTTTTTTATTTTTTATTGAATTTTAATGTCTTTAGGTGGGGTATGTATTTTCGATTTAGCCACAAGCCCCACTACTTCTTACAGAAAAATCTGGCTTGATTCATACATTTAAGTGGATTGTTTGGTACTGCTTGGTTTGTGTATGTGACATCAGATTTAGAATATATTTTGACTTTTATACATTACCATTTCTTACTATATCTAATATGGTATTTGTTTTTTCTCTTATGGTTAAAAAATAGTTCAAAAAGGACATATTTTTAAAAGATTCCTTAACTATTTTCCTAGGGTTTTAAGATATCTAACTCCTCCCTACAACCCCTAGCCCCAATAGCCATGAAGAGACTATTGTAATGTTATTTTGGAAGAAAAGAAGATGTATCTATATATCTATCCTTCTAAAATGGCAGAGAAAGTGATTTACACCATTGATTGAAGTACACTCTCTACTTAAGTGTCAGCTGATTAGTATGAACTGTTCTTTAGGATTTAGAATTCTTTAGAGTGTTGAATTAGTAGTCAATACTAGGGTTTTCTGCTTTTGAAATTTACAACTCTCTTAAACTGAAAATGGGTTGGGTTTCTTTTGAAAAATACTGTCTGATTGCTATGCTGTAGTTTGTAGCTTGATGTTCCCCTTTTCCAGGGAGAATCCTGAACCAACCTATCATGAACATACTCTCTGCCATTTCCTTAATCCTTTTTTTGGAAAAACTCTTTTATAATAACAACTGTTGGTGAGCCATTCATCAGAAAACTCTTGTAAGTGTCCTTTAGTTAGATGATTGCATGGTCCTTTGTTAGAAATGCTATAAAACCCCCCCCAAACAACCATGTCTTCTATTTGGCTTCTTAAAATATAGAATAACCTCAAAATTATAACAATACTTTTTAGTTTCCCATATGTTTCATTGAAACATTGGGATTCTTATTAAGGAGAGGAATTCACCCTTTAGAATTTGTTTCCATTTCCTTTTCTTTTACTTTCTCTTTCTGTTAACTGATTCATTTAGTTATTCCTTTAGAATTTAGACTTTGCAGGAGTATTGAGGATTAGTCAGTGTATACTTAATCTAACCAAATATAGGGCTAAAAATATGCTATCCTTATAAAACGAGAAATTTTGCTGTTTGTTTTATACATACATACCTACATACCTATCTACCTACCTACCTACCTACCTACCTACTTTAGCACATGCAGTGTTTTCTTCCCAAGAATGCTTAAATACTAACATGGAATAAATAATTTTAAAATTATCAGCTTTTTTTCTTATCTGTTAAACTTTTCCTCTAAATTTTTATTTATTAAGAGCAGCATGGATGAATCGGAGGGGGAGCAATAATAGTCAATGTGGCCTCTTGTTCAGAAGAGTCTCTAGGGCATGAATACTTGTATCAAGTAAAGAGAGAGGTGGAAATATGCCCTCCCTCTCCCACCCTTTAAAAAAAGTAACCTATCTGGCTCTGTTTCTCTGTAGGTAGTACATTTTACTGGTGTCAGAAATGTGTCAAGGGAAAGAAAATTAATAAGCAATAGTATGGTAGATGATCCAGCAGGTTCTAGTACTATGGAAGAGTAAAAAGGAAAAGTTAATTGAATTGAGTGGTTTTGTAAAATGCAAGAGATCTACAGGTTTTTGGTATCATTAAATGAAGTTATCTTGCCCTAACCAGTTTGGCTTGGTGGATAGAGCGTTGGCCTGCGGTCTCAAGGGTCCCAGGTTCGATTCCGGTCAAGGGCATGTACCTTGGTTGGAGGCACAACCCCGGTGGGGCGTGTGCAGGAGGCAGCTGATCGATGTATCTCTTTCATCGATGTTTCTAACTCTCTATCCCTCTCCCTTCCTCTCTGTAAAAAACCCCAATAAAATATATTTTAAAAAAATGAAGTTATCTTAAAACTTTTTAATATAAAAATAAAGGAATGTTTCTGATAATTAAGCTTTTATTAAATTTGTAGTCTATGTATGATTGTCATTAAATTACTATTTAATTGAGGAATTTTACTCATAATTTTAATGAATAAGAAATTTCTGCAGAAATGGTTCAATACAGCAATAGCTGTTATACAGTGATTTTTATTTCATTTTATTTTTCCATCACCATTTAACCCATCTATGCGCTCTCCCACCTCCATCCACTCCCCTTGATTTTTTTCTATAATAGGAAAAATTTGATTATTAGAGAAAAATAATTTTTTGCATGTATCTGTTGGGACTATGTGTAGTCTAATTATAAACATTTATACTTGTTGATATAATGGGAGTGTGCTTCTGTTTACTTTTCCATTTGTAAGGTTTCTAGAAATGTCCAAACTTAAAAGGAGTCAGTAAATGGTGACATTTTGTGATGTTTTGGTTTCCTGCTTTCTTGAGGGTTTACATTTGTTCTTAGATCATTCAGTTCTAAAGTTGTAGTGTGAAAATAAGGAATACGTGAGTGAATAAATTAGGACATGGTGAAGAAACACAGATTCTCACCTTGTGGGGGTGGTTCTTATTCTTGCTCTGACAATCTACTGGTTTATATACCATGGTATTATTATCATTATTATGACTAAATTAACTTTTGCCCCTTAAGTTACAGTGCCTTAATTTTACAGTGACCCTAAATAGAATATACATTTTATCTGCAGATTTGTTTCCATGAGCTCTATAGTCTATTGAATAGCTCTAATTTCTAGTTTATAATGGCTTTACATTTATTTTATGTAAGATTACTTTTACAAGCCAGTCACTCATTTTCTCCTTAAGCCCTTTGGCACTGTGGTACCACCATAATTTGCTCTATTTTAAAAATATGAAAGTAACATTGTTTTTTTCCCATGGCAGAATTATGTTCATGTATTAAAATTAAAAACTACAGAGAAGCATAAAATAGGAAAATTAAAATCACTTTAATTTTACCTATTCCAAGGACCTTTGCTTTTCAAGTATTGGTCTGGCTCTCTCAATTCCTCTTGCTTTGTCTTTTACTGGAACTGTTGGTTCTTTGCCCTCAGCATTGGTCGTATTCACTTCCATTTTAAAATAACATTTCTTCTTCTATGTACCCTCTCTCACGGCATAGTCAAGCTTCTTAAACACTCTGCACTTGGTGTTCTTTTCCTTACTTCTGTCTGGCCCCTGCGTGTTAGGGTTCCCTATCATTCTGTTGTTAGGTTCCTCATCTCATTACAGATGCTGAGCAACCTTTACTGAGTGACTCCAAATTAATACATCTTGCTTAGTTCTTGCTCTCGAACCATAAACCCGTCCACCCTATGGGACATCTCCAATTAGATGTGTCACAAGTACCTAAATTAAATGTATCTAAAGTTGAACTTTGTTCTTATCGCCAAACAACTTTTTCTCCCTTGGCTTTTCATCTTAGGGAATAGCATCACCATTTATCCAGTTGCAAAGCTAAAATTGCAGTAATTATATTTGGCATCGTTCTCCTTTTAAAAACTTCATCTACAACTCCTTCTTTCTGTCTTTATTTTTGTTGGTCTGCTTCCCTTTAGGTCACTCACCTAAAGTAATACTTTCTGTGAAGCCTTCTTAGAGATCCAACGCTGGTGGAGGTGCTCCTTCCACATCGCCCTGGGCTGCCCTTCTAGCATTGATCGAGCTGCTGTCTTGTGATGTGCTTACTGAGTTGGCTTATCTTCCTCACTAGACTGGAACTCTTTGAGGGCAGGGGTTGTTTCTCATTTCTTCATTCTTTGTGCCAACACAGTACCTAGCACAAAGTAGGGCCATGAAATACTTGTTTTGATGACCACTTTTGTTGTTGAGTAAATGAATAAAAGCAAGCATCAGGAGGGAGCAGTTTACTTAAGTTAATTCATGCGACAGTTTGATTAGTCCCCTAGATTATGTCTGTGTTAGAAACAAGAAACTTATTAATCATGGTAGAATTTTTGGTAGTTTGACAAAGTTTAGTGAAGGATTTCACACATACATAGAGTAAAATTTTTTTTTCTTCTACATGGAGGTGGAATAATACCTTTGTGTTGTTGCTGTGTGTGTGTGTGTGTGTGTGTGTGTTTTAATATGTCTTTATTGATTTCAGAGAGGAAGGGAGAGGGAGGGAGAGAGAGAAACATCCACGATGAGAGAGAGAATCACCAGTCGGCTGCCCCTTGCACACCTCCTACTGGGGATCGAGCCCCCAACCCTTGACTGTAATCGAACCCAGGACCCTTCGGTCCCCAGGCCGATACTCTACCCACTGACCCTAGAGTAAATTTTTAATATTGACTTTGTTAGAATTGAGGTAGTAGGGTTTTTTGTTTTTTGTTTTTTTTTTTTAAGCAAAGGCCCCAATATACTAGGTGATAGAATTTAAAATGTAGTTTACTCATTTTATGGAGACTGAGGGGTGAATCAGTGATATCAAGGCCATGTTCAAGTCCTTTTCCTTTATAAAGTTTTTTTCCTAATTTAATCTGAACGAGGTTAAACAATAATTAGAACTAATGAAGGTATATTTACTTTTTATATGCTGTATAATCTAAATGAATGTTATTTTTGAAATATACTACTTTTAATGGTATTCTGATCAAGATTCACCTTGCTTTCAGAAATCTTATTACTACTTTAAATTGAGATTTATGAAATAAAAAGTTCATGTTAATTACTTGCTACATAGTTATTTTTCCCTCAGTGTTATTCACTTTGTTTATCCTTTTAGGCAAATGCTGAGTATGTACTTTGTATTTAAAAATTGTCTAAATTAATTATTTTGTGTTTATAAATATGCTGTTTTTGAGACAGAATATATATTTTGACATCTAGCTCATTTCCATGGCCAGTAGTAATTGGATTTTGAAGAGGTTAAATGAGATTTTAGGTAGGATAGACCTTTGTACCAAGTTGAATGTTTTTCCAGTTTGAACAAGACAGTACTTATTTAAAATGAAATTTAAAAGTTGGGACATTTGGAGGAAAAATTGCTGTTCTATATTTTTAAAGCAAATGTTAGTTAATTTTAGACAGTTAACCATATTGGTTAGAACATACATTTGTTTGTCTTGGCATGACAATTTTGAACACTAATGAAACAATTATGTTCAGATATCTGAACCGAGATACACATTTTTTTTCTCTCTTTAGATAATCGTGTGGAAGAGATACAGTGACTTTAAGAAACTACACAAAGAACTATGGCAAATTCATAAAAACTTATTTCGACATTCAGAATTGTTTCCTCCATTTGCTAAAGGAAAAGTGTTTGGTAAGTGATGATTTTGAATTTGTGGTTTTAAAACATGATGATTAGCTAATTATGCTCATATGCTGAAATACTGTGCCATGAAGTTAGAGGACCCTTTATTTATTACAGTAATTCATATCATGTAGCAAGCATCTGGCACCTGAAGTTGTTTTCATGTTCTTGATATAGTTTTGTTAACTCAGAACACATTTACTCCTCTCTTCTATGAAACAGCAGCACAGCAACTCCAACCAATCAAATAAAAAATGTGTGAGAACATAAGAAAAGATGATGTTGAATTATTCTTATAGTTCTGATTTATTTTTTATTTTTTAATGTCTGTACTTTGCATATTTTTTGCAAATGTTGACCCATTTATCATATAATATCAAAATGTTAATATCATAGATCTCTAAAGGAAATTAAAAAAACAACCAACCTATATTTAGACTTGGATAGCAGGTCTCAGTAGTTACAGTTTGTTTTTTTCCCCCACAGATTTTAAAAAGAAATGGTCTTAAGGGTTGAGATTTAATAAATAAAGTTAGTAAATTTTCTGCATTATCAAGTATATTCTTAAGTGAAACTGGCATTTAAAGAAATTTTAATACGAGTGAGTGGCAGTAAGGAATATGATGATTAGTAGTAAGTGTAGTTTGGTGCCATTGTCTTGATTCCTGCTAAGAGGCCAGCAGTTTTACTGCCATTGGTTTTAGATATCAGTGCAAATGTCAGTGTGGTGAAAAATGCAACCACATTATGAAAATTGCTTTGACCTTGTTGATCTCTTGTAAGGCCCTTAGGGAACCCTCAGCAGTCCGTGGACCATGTTTTGAGAACACATGCACACACAAATTTGTGCACACGCATATGTACATGTTCATGGGTGTTCCTTGCAGCATTTTCAATAGAATACTGAAAATAAACTGTATTTGTACAATATGTGATTGTATGAATGTGCCATAATTTAGCCAATGCATAGAATTCTTCAGCTAAAATTTTAAATATATTGGTATGGAAATATGGCCGAGGTATATTTTTAAGATATAGGAAACAAATATTGCCCAGCAATGTGTTTAGTAAGATCCCATCTATATTTAATTAGATACACATATTTGTGTGAAGACGTACCTACACACATTTCTATAATGTGCAAAACCTCCGAGGTCATGGGAGGAGACCTACTTTTACTTTTTACCTTAAACCTTCTGAACTGTAGAATTTAACTGTGCACACATATCTTTAAATTCAATGTTGGAAGATACACAACCTGGCTTTTAAAACAATAAGCTTGTCTCTTGGTGAAAGGGAGTGGCTTCCGAATTGGTTCTTAGCTATTATTGTTTGTTGCTAATGAATTATCTTCAACTTTTCTCCTCATTCTTACATATTATAGAGTGAAAGTTTCTTATTAATCTTAATAAGTAAGCAATTTATCACTCTCAGTGAATGGTACAGTCCATTTGTAATACTTGATAACTGCAGTGAACCCTGCAGGCAGCAGCTGTGGTTGTGTGGAGGGAATTGTTGGTTAATCATCTGTCTTTTTAGTTACTCTCACATTTTTAGCATATAAGCCTCAGCAACAAAATACAGACCTATTGTAATTTGCAGAACCATCAGATATGTAATGTTCTAATATTATAGTGAAAAGAACATACCTTTTGGAATCAGATAGATTTAGGCCCAAACCTTCTATCCACTATTTACTAGTGGTGTGATCTTAATACAAATTAACATCTGAGTCTTTTTTCTTATTGGAAAGACAGGAATAATACCTTCTTGTTTTGAGGATTATATCTGTATGTGTCTAGTTCAATGCTCAATACATTATCAGCTATTGTTAGCTCTTATCTGTTGCTCAGCTTACCATTTCCCTAACATACATACTCTCGTATCTCTTTCTTTAGTGTTGCACCGTTCCACTGTGAAATTTTTCGCTAACCTTTCATACTTTTAGATGTCTCCTCTTCTAGTAAGTTTTCTGTGTTTCCTTCAGACTGAGTTAGTTCTTTTCCCTTCCAATTCTACATTTCAACAATGTAGCAACTAATTTTCCTCCATTTTTTTTTAATTTGCAAAATTTTCCAATTTACAGAAAAAAGACCGAAAGAATTCAGTTCTAACTCTAAAATAATTTCTTTTAGTTACCATTGTGGTTGACCGTTAGACTGACATGAGCAGAACAAAGACGATGGCCAGATACAGAAGGTCACCAGGGCAGAAAGGCCACGGTACCTAGTAATGGGTGAAACTGGAAAAACAAGGACCTCGCCCCCAGGGTAACTTTTCTTCTCCAAGCATATCACTGGTCATGTGGTTTAGACCCCCGGACATTTCATGTAGCTGATCATGCAGTTCCGACTCTCTCCTAACCTTTCCTGGGAGGAGGAACAGGGGCTGAAGAGTGGCCTCATGTGACTCCCATGCGGGCCCTTGCACTACTCCTCCCTTAAGCATTAACCCCTAGGGATAACATATCGGCCTCAGTTGTGGTTTAGCTCCAGGCCCAGAAAAGCAGCAGAACCAGACTGGCGATGCCATGGCTGATATCAGGACCAGCTGCAATGACCCCCTGCTCTGATGCTGACGAATCATTAGAGGCCATGACCCTGAAAGGACACACCTAGAAAGCTGATGAATATTCTATTGGAATCCTCCCCTGAGCCCTCCAGATAAATACCCTCAAGACCAGGACCCAGTGTGGCTCTCTCTCCTGGGAGCATGCCCACAGCCTTCTCCCCACCCCACCTCCCTGCAGGCAAGTTACCTTTACCTTTCTCCTAAGCAACAAGGGCCTTTCTTTTGCCTCTGTAACTTGTTTTCTGAGCCCATTTCTTCTTTCTTTTACCTCTGTGACTTTCTAAATAAACTTTCTTTTAAATCTTGAGTCTTAGTAATGAATTATTTCTTAGCTAAAACTCAAGTATCTAGTACCGAAGTTGCTGAAGCAAGATCTGGTCTGACTCCACTGGTCTAACACCTGGTGCCATTATCGCTGCCAACATTATGAAGTAGATAGTTCACCGTAAGCATGAGATACATTGAGCTTAGATAGCACATCCTATATAATAAAACCCTAATATGCAAATCAACCGAACGGCAGAATGACTGGTCGCTATGACACGTACTGATCACCAGGGGGCAGACACTCAATGCAAGAGTGTCAGCCAGAAGCTGGGCTCACAGCTAGGGAGTGCAGCAGTGGTGGCGGGAGCCTCTCCTGCCTCCACAGCAGCGCTAAGAACTCCCAGAGGGTCTTGGACTGCAAGAGGGTGCAGGCTGGGCTGAGGGAGCCCCCCCTCAGTGCACAAAAGTTGTGCACCAGGCCTCTAGTATATTATAATTGGAATGATACAGAGGAGATTAGAATGGCCCCTGCATAAGGGTGACACGTAAATTCGTGACGTGTTCCATATTTTTGTAAATATATGGTGATGGAAGGAGATTTGACTTTGAGTGGTGGGCACACAATGCAATATACAGATGATGTATCAGAATTATACACTTGAAACCTATATACTTTTATTAACCAATGCTACCCCAATAAATCTAATTAAAAAAATATACAGTAATACCATTTCTTTTAGTTACCACGAAGTAGACACTTCACCATAAGCATGAGACCCGTTGAGCTGAGGTATTCAGTGATTCGATTTCAAATTGTTGCATTGGGCATTATAACTAGGAATCTCTTTGTGCCTCAGTTTCAGTTAACATTTTGCAAAGCTACTGGAAATGTTTAAGTAGGTGATGATGTTACTCTTAATAATCATATTTTTTTAAACCTATATGGCCATCAGTATGATACGTGGTATCAAACTGGTAGTCTGGTCTGAGAGTGGTTAAAATGGTCATGTTTGAAATACCTCATTAGCATTCACACTGTATATATAATTAAAATTCTATAAATACAACCTTTCTATCACCTTGTAAAACAGATCACTGGTGCTGTGTGTTCTCCTTTTTCTCACAAGCATGTTGTCATGGTGTCTGACAGCCTCACACAGGGAATTTGGCTGAAAAAGCTTTTTTCTTCAAACTGAAGTTTTTGACCCTATTGATATACAGATGTTCTCATAATTTCCTCTCCTCAATTCCTTTGTAAATCGAAAGTAGGAAAGGGAAAATTATTTATGTAATTACATTAATAATTAATAATCAATGTGTATTAAATTACTATAGAAAACCATTCTGGTTCTTTACAATTCTCTTTTCAACTTTAGTTTCAAATCGCCAGCTTTTTAAATGGTAAGTTGCTTATATTGACAGACCTTAGATGATGATGGCACCATTTAGTTTTGAGTTGACATCTCTGCCTCTTTTTTTGTCAGAAACATTGTTTTTTGTTAGAAACATTATTTTTCTGGTGTGACTGCTGCTGATCCCAGTTGGGGAGACTAGATTTGGCTTCTGAAGGGTGCATAATCAGCACAGCAAATAGTCAGCGATAGGTCTGCCGCTGCTTTCTGCTCTGTGAACATCAGTTGTCATAAACCGGTGTTTGTTCCTTCTTTATTTGTGCTGATTCTTATTTAATTGTAGGACGATTTGATGAAACTGTTATTGAAGAGAGAAGACAGTGTGCCGAAGACCTGCTACAGTTCTCTGCCAATATTCCTGCTCTTTATAACAGTAAACAGCTTGAAGATTTTTTCAAGGTCTTTCTAAAATACTTTGTATTTTATTAAATACCTGTGTTTTCTAATGTTAATTTTTACTTTATTTGGGGGCTCTGTTGGCATATACATGTATGTTTATAATGGGTATGTCTTCCTGATGAATTGAATTGCTTAGTCTTATGCATTATCTCTCTCTGTCTCTGGTAGTACTTATTAAAGCCTTACTTTGTATGGTTTTAATATAGCCACTCTAGGTTTCTTACAGTCACTGTTTGCATGGTACCTTTTTATTTTTTATTTTTTTGCTTTCTATCTATTTGTGTTATTAAATAAGGGTATCTCTTACATGCAATGTATAGTTTGATCTTATTTTTTATCCAGTCAGGAAATGACTGTTGTTGATTGGAGGAGTATTTAGTCCTTTTTTTGTTTTGTTTTGTTTTATTTTTGTTAATCCTCACCCAAGGATATTTTGCTATTGATTTTTAAAGAGAGTGTTAGAGGGGGGAGAGACAGAGAGAGAGAAACATCGATGTGAGAGATACACATTGTTTGGTTGCCTCCCTCATACGCCCGGACTGGGGCCTGGGATCAAGCCTGCAACTGAGGTACATGTCCTTGATGGGACTCAAACCCAGGACTCTTCAATCCTTGGGCTGACACTCAATCCAGAGTCAAACAGGCGAGGGCTAGTCCTTTTATACTTAAAGTAATTGTTGATTTGATTGAATTTGTCTGCCATTTTGCTGTTAGTTATGTCTCATATATTTTTGTTTTTCCTTTATGCAACCCTTGTAGATATTGATTATTGTACCATTTAAATTCCTTTTTTATGAGTTTTTTGCTAAGTTAAATTCTTATTGGTTGCTCTAGGAATTAAAACATGCATTTTAATTTATGACAATTTACTTGAGATTAATACTCACTTAATTCCAGTAACATATAGAAAGTTTGCTTCATAAAGTGTTATTTACTCCCCTCCATTGCATTATTATAATATGTGTACCTTAAATATAATATAAATCCAACAATGTAGTATTATGATCTGATGTCTTTTAAGGAGTTAGGAGAAGAAAAAAGAACATATTTATATAGCCTTTTTTATACTTTAAAAACAGTGTATTAAAAAACAGTGAATATAAAAGATATAACATAAACAATGTATGTAAACCTAAAATGTGTGTACATAAAACAATATTTTCAGGAGCACATTCCTAAATAAACAAGAGGGGGCCTTCCATGGACCTATACATAGTCTTTTATATTTATCCTCATACGTACCTTCTTTTTTTTAAAAATATATTTTATTGATTTTCTACAGAGAGGAAGGGAGAGAGATAGAGAGTTAGAAACATCGATGAGAGAGGAACATCAATCAGCTGCCTCCTGCACATCTACTGGGGATGTGCCCGCAACCCAGGTACATGCCCTTGACCGGAATCGAACCTGGGACCTTTCAGTCCGCAAGCCGACGCTCTATCCACTGAGCCAAACCGGTTTCGGCAATACGTACCTTCTTTTGTGTGTGTTCTTTATTTGTTCAGGTAGATTTGGATTACCAACAGTTGTCAATTTCTTTCAGCTTGGGATTTCCTGTTGTTTCTTTTTGGTGTAAGCCTGGTTTGCTGGCAAAGGTTCTCTCAGTCTTTGTCTGGAAATGTTTTTGTTTACACTTTACTTTCAAAGGATAGTTTTGCTAGATATGTGGAATTACCGATTGACACTCTTTCTTTTAGTAGTTTGAATTTGTCACTCCACTGACTTTTGTCCTTCATTGTCTTTTTGAGAATCAGCCGTTAATTGTACTATAGTTCCACTGAGTAAGTCTTTTTCTATTGCTTCTTTCAGAAGTTAGCCTTGTCTTTCAACAGTGTACGTGTAGGTATTGATCTTTTTCTGTTTATCCTATTTAGGGGTCTAATTTATCTTCTTGTATTTGTAGATTAAATTTTTTTGGTTCAATTTTGGATGTTTTCTGTCCTCATCTCTTCAAAGTATTTCTTTTTTTTAATATATTTTATTGATTTTCTACAGAGAGGAAGGGAGAGAGACAGAGAGTTAGAAACATCGATGAGAGAGAAACATCGATCAGCCGCCTCCTGCACATCCCCCACCGGGAATGTGCCCGCAACTCAGGTACATGCCCTTGACCGGAATCGAACCTGGGACCTCTCAGTCCGCAGGCCGACGCTCTATCCACTGAGCCAAACCGGTTTTGGCTTCAAGTATTTCTTTTTCAGCCCCTTTCTCTCTCTTACATTGGATACCCCCATTACATGTAAGTTGGTATGCCATTACGTGTAAGTTGGTATGCTTGATATCATTTCACATTTCTCTCTGGTTCTCTTTATTATTTGGTCTTTTTTTTCTATAATCTTCATACTCGATAGTTTCTGTTGATCTTCACATTCATTGGTGGTTCTTTCTCAAATCTGTTGTTGAACTCCTCTAGTAAATTTAAAATTTTTGTTACAATACCTTTCAAATGCACCATTTCTATCTGGTTCTTTTTTTTTTTTTAAATTGAGATTAAATGACATAACATAAAACTCACCATTTTAAAGTGGTGTATGATTCAGTGGTTTTTAGTATATTCACAAGGTTACACAACCATTATCGCTGCCTGATTCCAGAACATTTTCATTACCCCATAAAGAAATCTCATACCCATGAGCACTTACTTCTTCCCCACCATGCCCCAACCTGTAGCAACTACCGATCTACTTTCCATCTTGATGGATTTGCCTATTTCTGGACATTTCACATGAATGGAATCATAAAACATGTAGCTGTTTTCATCTGGCTTCTTTCTCAGAGTTCAATATTTTCAAGGTTCATCCATGTTGCAGCATGTATCAGTACTTCATTTCTTTCCATTAAGTGGATTTTGTTATCCATTCATTAGTTGATGTACATTTGGATTGTCTCCACTTTTGGCTCTATGATAATGCTTCACTATTTTTTGTTTTAAAAAAAAATAATTTCTACTTATTTATATTTACTATTTCATGAGTCATAGTCATTAGACTTTTCTTTAATTCTTTTTAAATGGAATCTTTTAAAAAAATATATTTTTATTGATTTCAGAGAGGAAGGGAGAGAGATAGAACATCAATGATGAGAGAGAATCATCGATCGGCTGCCTCCTGCATCCCCCTACCAGGGATTGAACCCACACCCCAGGCATGTGCCCCTGACCAGAATCAAACCCGAGACCCTTTTGTCTGCAGGCCGACGCTCTATCCACTGAGCCAAACCAGCTAGAGCTCCTTTAATTTTTTAATTGTTATTTCCTTCAGTTATTTGAACATATTTATAAGCTTGTATTGACTGTTTCCTCCCCCCCATCCCCTTTTATGGAGCACACACTTTTCCTGTTTCTTTGTATGTCTTACTATTTTTTGTTCAAAGCTGGAAATTTTGGTTAATATATATTACAGCAACTCTGAATTCTGATTTTTTCCTCCCTGAGGGTTGTTGCCATTGTTTTATTAGTATGTTTATTAACATGGCTGTACTAAATCTGTGGAGTTTATTTGTTTAATGCATAGTATGTGACTGCTGATACTTATGGTCAGTTTTTAATTTTAATTGTATTTTTAAATCTGGTTTAGTAGGATTTAGCTCTGTGTCATCTTAGTTTATTGGACAGCCAGTGTTTGGTCTTGGCTTATACTTAAACACTTTGTTTCTTATATGCTTCTCTTTATGCTGATGATTCTTTGTGTGTTTTCAAAGTTCAAGCAGTTTTTAAGTTTGCCCTGGGTCTTACTTTCCTTTGAGATGTCTTACATTTCCTCTATCCAGTGGTCGGCAAACTGCGGCTCGCAAGCCACATGCGGCTCTTTTTGGCCCCTTCAGTGTGGCTCTTCCACAAAATACCGACTTCTGCGCATGGGCCACGAAGTTTCAATCGCACTGTACGTGCGCGCCCGCACGTGGTATTTTGTGGAAGAGCCACACTGAAGGGGCCAAAGAGCCGCATGTGGCTCGCGAGCCTCGGTTTGCCGACCACGGCTCTATGCATATGCACCATCTCATGGTTTGCCAGGGATTTGTAGATAGTTTGTTCCCTCTGTGGTCTCTCCTGTATGGATGGGTAGAGTGCTTATTAAGAATCCCTATGGTTGTGTCATTTTCTGGATTTCCCTGGTAAATGTCTGGCTAATGTTCTGGTCTTTTGCTTGCTGCAGCTTATGCTTGCTGAGCCATTCACTTGTTTCTTGCCATTTGTTTGGCACTAAGATTGCTACTATTACTGATAATGCTATTTGGGGTAGATTTTTTTTCCTGTGATTCAATCAAAATCATGGCAACCTCATCTACAAGTGAATCTGCTGGTTTTCAAGGCTCTTGTATAATTACCTTGGCCACCCAGCTGGGATGGAAGATGGGAGCAACCCCAGGCGAGAATAGACTTATTAAGAGTTCTTACCTGGGGTTTTGTGGTTTTTCATGAGTAACCACATCTTCATTTGCTTTATGTTTTTGGTCAAGTTCTGGAATCTCAAATGGTTATTTAGACAGTTTTCTCTAGTTATATTATTGTCTTTTGTGATGAGCATTTGCTCATATACTTATTTTACCATATCTAAACTCCTTCCCCTTCAGACTGACTTTCATTAACAAAAACTTTGAGAAACTATATAATAAGAGTTTCTTTTTACTGCATAATCAGGAACACTAAGAGGTTAATGTTTGAACTAGAGATTTAAAATAGAATTGTGGCATATTATTCTACTACTTCCCTTTAGTGCCTATAGAACAGATTTATTTATTTATTTATTTATTTATTTATTTATTTCCTCACCTGAGGATTTGTTCATTGATCTTGGGAGGAGGGAGGGTGGAAGGAAGGAAAAGAGAGAGAGAGAGGAAGTGAGAGAGGGGAAAAAGAAAGAAACATTGATTGGTTGCCTAATGTGCTCATCCTGACCAGGGATGGTCCTGACCAGGGATCAAACCTGTAGCCTAAGTATGTGCCCTGACCGGAAATTGAACCCGCAGCCTTTTAATGTATAAGATGACACTCCAATCCATGGAGCCATCCGGCCATGGCTGGCAGGGAACTTTTGATTAGGTAAAGATAGTTGTGAAATCTTTGTGCTGACATAGACAGGAAATAGGGGTTTTATATTCCTCTTGGGTTTGGCTATCTGGGAAGTAGTGTTTGGGAGGCATAGAACTGCTGGTGGAAGGTAGAGGAAAGATGTTAAGGAGCAGAAGAGCTATTTTAATTAGTTATACTTATTCAAAGATTATAAGCCCATATATTCCTGATTGTAGCAGTGTATAAAGCCATGGCACAGACTCACACCACTATCACTTGCCTGATATTAGCATTCTCTAGTTACATGTAAGTAAGAGAAAGTAGTCTTTTAGGCTTAAATTTGCAAACTTAAATATAGAATTAAAATGATGGTCACATTGAGAAATCAATTTTATATTAAAATTGTGTTTTTTAATAAAAATATTTTAAACTTATTTAGTTTTACTTTATTGTATTTAAGTGGTTTTCAAGTTTAAGTCACTTCTGGAATTTCCTGAAGTGCTGTGTGATATATTGTAGTTTTTAATTTGAAAATTACATTACTTTCTAATGGAGCTCATCATTTATCACTATTGGAATGACCAGTCACTAAGGATTCTGAACAATATTCATTAGCTGGTGTGTGTTTTCTTTTTCTGTATTTTTAAATGAGTAAGTTTGAGAGATTTTTAAAAAATTTGCTTTTATAAAAAGCCATGTTTTATTATAAACATTATAGTATTCCTATTGAATTTTTAAATAATTGACTATTTTTTAGAGCAGTTTATGTTTACAGAAAAATTGTGCAGAAAGTATTAGAGTTTTCCCATGTATTCCCCTACTCCCTCATAGAGTTTCTCTATTATTAACATAGTGCATTGGTGTGGTATGTTTGTTAACATTGATGAACCAATATTGATATTTCTGTTGATTTTTTAAAAAGCAATTGTAATCTGCCCTAACTGGTTGGCTCGGTGGATGGAGCGTCGGCCTGCGGACTGAAGGGTCCCAGGTTCAATTCCGGTCAAGGGCATGTACCTTGGTTGCGGGCACATCCCCGGTGGGGGGTGTGCAGGAGGCAGCTGATTGATGTTTCTCTCTCATCGATGTTCTAACTCTCTATCCCTCTCCCTTGCTCTCTGTAAAAAATCAATTAAAAAAATAAAAAAATAAAAAGAACATTAAAAAAAAATTGTAATCTCATTTAATAGATAATTAGTTTTTGTAATCCTTATACAATACTCAATTGAGAAGTCTATAGTTCATTTATTACTGATTTTTTAAAATACTGTTATTATGAATGACACACAATTACTCTGATCTTTTTAGGGTGGAATAATTAATGATGGTTCTGAATTGATTGGTCCTGTTGAAGCTTATTCGGATTCCCTCACTGATAGCTTTCCTGAGTGTAGTACGGAAGGTAAGAGATTTTATTTTTTTTCATTTCAGTGGTTTTTATTGTAGAAGATTAAATCATATTTATATTGCAAAAAAAAATGGATATAGGAATTTGGGAATACTTCATTAATTCTAATGATTTTTTTCACATTTTAATATCATTGATATTGGGTGCATGATACTGGGTTGATGATATCTTGCATTTAATTGACAGCTTTTTTCTTTCTTTTTTTTTTTTTTTATTAAAATATATATTTTATTGATTTTTTACAGAGAGGAAGGGAGAGAGATAGAGAGTTAGAAACATCGATGAGAGAGAAACATCGATCAGCTGCCTCCTGCACATCTCCCACTGGGGATGTGCCCGCAACCCAGGTACATGCCCTTGACCGGAATCGAACCCGGGACCCCTCAGTCCGCAGGCCGACGCTCTATCCACTGAGCCAAACCGGTTTTGGCAGCTTTTTTCTTTCTTAGTAATGTATAAACTAAAGGCCCGGTGCATGAAAATTCATGCACTGGTGGGGGGCGAGTCCCTCAGCCCGGCCTGCGCCCTCTCACAGTCTGGGAGCCCTCAGGGGCGGGAGGTGACCCGGCGATCAGGGGAAGGCAATGCCCCATCACACCTCTGCTGCTGCCACTGCCGGCAGCGCAAGCCTCAGCCGGCCCTGGTTACCTGAGCCTCAGGTGGCCCTGGGTGCCTCGGGCCAGCCCTGGGCGACTGGGCAGCCACCATCTGAGGCTTGCCTGCACCTCGGACTGGCCCTGGGCAGCTGGGGGACTGAGGGGACTGGGGGACTCCAGAGGCAGGTTGTGCGCCTGCTGCCCCGGTGGGGCTGAGGGGACTGGACGCTGTCATCTTGTGGCTGTGGGTGCCACCATCTTTGAGGGCGGGGCAGTCAATTAGCATATTCCCTCCTTATTGGCTGTGGGCGCTGCCATCTTTGCAACGGTGTGAGGGTCAATTAGCATATTCCCTCTTTATTAGGTAGGACTAGAGGCCTGGTGCACAAAAATTTGTGCACTTGGGGGGGGGGAGGAGGAGGGGACCCCTCAGCCTGGCCTGTGCCCTCTCGCAGTCTGGGACCCCTCAGGGATGACCACCTGCTGGCTTAGGCCCGCTCCCCGGGGGATTGGGCCTAAGATGGCAATCAGACATCCCTCTGGCAGCCCGGCAGCCCTCGGGGGATGTCCACTTGCCAGCGGGGAGCAGACCTAAGCTGCAGTCGGACATCCTTAGCGCTGCTGAGGAGGCAGGAGAGGCTCCCACCACCACCGCTGTACTGGCAGCATCATCCTGGCTTGTGGCTGAGCAGAGCTCCTCCCATGTGAGACCGCCCTGACCACCAGAGGGCAGCTCCTGCATTGAGCGTCTGCCCCCTGATGGTCAGTGTGTGTCATAGTGACCAGTCATTCCCAGTCCTTCTGCTGTTAGGGTCAGTTTGCATATTACCCTTTTACTATATAGGATAGAGGCCTGGTGCACGGGTGGGGGCCGGCTGGTTTGCCAGGGTGTCCTGGATCAGGGTGGGGGTCCCACTTGTGTGCCTGGCCAGCCTGGATGAGGGGATGATGGCTGTTTGCAGCTGGTTGCACCCCCTTCAGGGTGGGGGTCCCCACTGGGGTACCTGGCCAGCTTGGATGAGGAGATGATGGCTATTTGCAGCTAGTCACACCCCCCTGCAGGGTGGGGGTCCCCACTGGGGTGCCTGGCCAGTCTGGGTGAGGGGCTGAGGGCCGTTTTCAGGCTGGCAGGTGACTGAAGCTCCCAACCTCTCCTTTTTTTCTTTTTTTTTTTTCTTCTTGGATTTATTTACCTTCTATGGCTGTCACTGGAGCTGAGAGCCGGCTCCAGCTCTGAAGCTCGGCTCCAGCTCTGAGACCTCGGCTGCTGAAAGCAGGTATCTGCTTTTGTTTGGCTTCTATAATTGAAACACTTGTTGCAGTTCCAGCTCTGAGGTCCGGCTGGCTGAAAGCAGGTTTCTGGGGATTGTTTAGCTTCTATAATTGCAACATTGTTTCTTAGAGTGCAAGCTCAGAGCCCAGCAGCGGCAGGCGGGGAACCTTGGCTTCCTCCTTCACTGGAGCAAGCAAGCCTCCTGTTCGCTTCAGCTGCCTGGCTGCCGGCCGCCATCTTGGTTGGCAGTTAATTTGCCTATCTCGCTGATTAGCCAATGGGAAGGGTAGGGAAGTTACAGTTAATTACCATGTTTCTCTATTATTAGATAGGATGATTCCTCCTACAATTAATGCCATCTTAGATTTGATGAAATGTAGTATAATGAGTGTTCAGAATTTGTATTTTCTACAGTAAGAATGCCTTGGTTAAATTTATTTAGCAGCAACTGATCTTTAGACAATTAATTTTTTAAGACTGGCCTTAAAAGTTTAGTCATGTACCCAGAAAAAAAATTTAAAGCAGTTTTAATATGTTTTATAATAACATGAGTCTAAACCAAAGCAATTTTTGTACTTTTAATCATTTTAATTCAAGAATGCTTAATCTCCTGTTTTATTTCTCTATTAAGCCATCCTTGATTTTTTTTTTTAAATATATTTTTATTGATTTTTTACAGAGAGGAAGGGAGAGAGATAGAGAGCTTGAAACATCGATGAGAGAGAAACATCGATCAGCTGCCTCCTGCACATCTCCCACTGGGGATGTGCCCGCAACCTAGGTACATGCCCTCGACCGGAATCGAACCCGGGACCTTTCAGTCCGCAGGCCGACGCTCTATCCACTGAGCCAAACCGGTTTCGGCAATCCTTGTTTTTTTATGAAGATTTAAAACACATATTTTTTGGATTTCCTTAGCTAGTTTTTTTTTGTTTTTGTTTTTGTGTTTTTTCAGGGAAAATTTTGGAATAATAAAAAAAAGAGATTTAGGAAATAGGGATGGGGAGAGTCTTTAAAAATAGGTAATTAGGTTTGGTTCTGCTGTATTGAGAAGTGATTAACTTTTCTTGTTTTTCATGGTGGCTCCTGTTGACTTAAAAGCAAAGTATCCATTGAGTCCTCAATATCTTTGGCTCCATCCTGAATCAGCCAGGGTCATAGAAAAACATTGTTGACAGTAATATTACTTTACAGTCTGTCATGTTTTGGGGGGAAAATATATCTGTTCTCCATGACCTGTTTTTATCTGAGATCCTTGTCAGGCTTTGGAAAATCTAATCCCTGCTTGAGTTCTGAATGTGATTCTCTTTCTAGAACTGGATTCCTTGGAAGGTGACTTATGGGATAACCTGATCTGGCTATTGCCTCAGAGATACTCTGCTGAGAAAGAGGGAGAGTGTTTTCTGCCTGAAAAATGTGCTGATTTGATGATGTCCAGTAGAGGACCAGTAGGACAAATATTTGTAGGAGACTATTCAATGAGGAGAACAGCTCTTGGAAATGGCAGAAAAGTTTCTTTTCTCTCTCTTTTTGTTTTTTGATATAGGAATCAAAGGTTGTGTGATTTGGGAATGGTTATGTTCTTTTGACAGCCATAATAAGCCCTTGTTGCTAGGTGGGAGTCTGCCATGGTGAGAGAAGGGTGTTTCAGGAGGAGCCCATTTCAGTTTAAAATAATCAGGGATGGGAGCAATACAGAGGTCTTTTGTCCTTTGCCATCGTCTAGGAGGGAAAGGGAAGTGCATTATTATTAGGAATGACTTTTCTGGGTAAAAAGGTGGTTGCATCCATGTTAAAAGAGATATCTAAAGCTAAGGTGAGTTAGTAATTTATTGTCCAGTCTGGGAGACTTTTGAGAATTACAATAAAACAATAGGCATAAACCAGAGCTGCCTCAGACAAACTGGGCAGTATGGGCTACCCTACCTAAAGCAGTTAAGAGTTTGTCTGTGAAATTTCAAACAGATGGCTTTTCTTTGGAAGGCTTTATCCTTTAGGAATATGCTTTAAGAGAGAAATTAGGGGCAACATTTTTTTTAAAAAAAATTATGTTTTTATTCATTTAGAGTGAGGAAGGGAGAGGGAGAGAGAGAGAGAGAGACATCAATGATGAGAGAGAATCACTGATCAGCTGCACATGCCCCACTGGGGATCAAGTCCTCAACCCAGGCATGTGCCCTGACCAGGAATTGAACCAGCAACTTCCTGGTTCATAGGTCGATGCTCAACCACCGAGCTATGCCAGCCAGGTAGGGGAAACATTTTTGTTAAAAACTTAGGAAAAGACTTATGATACCTAAAAGAAATAGTGAAATTTTTATCCTTTCAGGGCATAGTTTAGTTTTCCAACTGTATTACCATTCTAAAATACACTGATCCATTAAGAATGAAAAACACGGAACTAGAAATGCTGTTAATACTTAAGTTTTTTACCCCTCTCTTTAAACGACTCTATGTCTGGTTAATTAATCCTGCTGAAAGACACTTTGTTGACAAATACAGATTGGAATGTCAGACAGCTTGCAAATTCATTGCTATGAGAGGGGAAATGACTTGAAAATGTTTTTAATTGATTTTTTTTGAGAGACAGGAAGAGGAGAGAGATAAAGAAAAACATCAATTTGTAGTTTCACTTCTTTTTTAAAAAAAATATATATTTCTTTATTGATTTCAGAGAGGAACGGAGAAGGAGAGAGAGATAGAAACATCAATGATGAGAGAGAATCATTGATTGGCTGCCTCCTGCACACCCCCTACTGGGGAACGAGCCCGCAACCCAGGCATGTGCCCTTGGCTGGAATCGTACCCGGGACCCTTCAGTCCACAGGCCACCGCTCTATCCACTGAGCCAAGCTGGCTAGGGCTAGTTTCACTTCTTTATGCATTCATTGGTTGATTCGTGTATGTGCCCTGACCGGGATCTCACCTACAATCTTGGAGTATTGGGACAATGCTCTAACCAACTGAGCTACCTGGCCAGGGACAGAGGAGAAATGACTTTTAATATGTATGTGCGTGTGTGTGTGTGTGTGTGTGTGTGTGTGTGTGTGTGTATTTTTGGCCTCGCCCCACCTCCCCCGTCGCTATATATATTTATTTCAGAGAAGGGAGAGGGTGAGAGAGAA